TCTCCGACCTCCATCCAGTATTGTTGGGACTGGAGTCCAATCTGGATTCAGTGGGAAATATAGAAAGGTATGAGACACACTTTATACCAAGATACCTATTGGAATAGCAGCAAGACTGAATATTATATACCTAAACAGAGCTAACTCCCAGCACTGGTACATTTGAAGCAAGGATAGCATTGGTCAAAAACAACAGTCAACAATCAATACCAACTGACTCAGCCATGAAGACAGAGCGAGGCTGCGTGTCAACAGTTTTACAGCACGGTGTTCACTCCATTCTTAACTTCCTAGACACTGACAAAGCACTGGTAAACCTACAGCAGTAACTTAATGAAGGTTTGGGCTGACAAGTGACAGGTAACATTTGCACCATGTAAAAGGAAGACAAATATATCCCATTTTTATGTTTCAACATCAGTAACTTGGTGTGACTGAGAGCAGGCTGTTTGGTCACCATTAGACAGTTATTGGAACTACCTCTTTGCCACAGAACTCTTTACCACCTGCAGGGCTCAATTCAGGAAGTGAAATACTTTAGCCACTAACCACCCTGACTTGGAAATAGACCACTGTTCCTTCAATGTGGCTGAGTCAAAATTCAGGAATTTCCTCCCTTGAGAGTCTGTTTACAGCCCATGGGCTGCAGCAGTTCAAAACAGCAGCTCACCACCACCTTCTCAAGGGGCGACTAGGGACAGGGCAATAAATACTGGACCCAGCCAGTGACACCCACATCCCATGAATGATTTTTTTAAAATTAATTTACCAATTACCTGGAACAGTACAGATGAAGCAATGTATAATCCAAAAGAGAATAGTCCACTTTATCAGTCCTCCATCTCTGATATGAATATTGAAATAATTCCACAGAGGCTTGTATCCTGTTACCAAGTCATCCTTTATTTACACGTGGAGAGTCCTTGACACTGATCCAGTTCCCTCAGGGCCAGCTCTCAGAGTGAACAGAACCTCTGACATTCCTGTTTATATCTGTCAGCCAGGGCTCCCTGATTGGACCAGGTTAACAGCCCCCATCAGGGAACTTACATTCTATGCGGTCCCCACGGCTGACCGCATTACAAATACAAACTGCATTTACCACTTCACATAATGGTAGCGTTTATTTTTATGCATTGCAATAACTCATTGATTATGTAATTATCCCCGTGCCTAACTCTTACAACCGGGAAGAACAAAAGCAGAATATTACCCGGCAGGTCAACCAGCATCAGAACCTAGACATGGATCTAATTGACAGCATTGTGATACAGACAACACCCAACTGGATGGAAGCATCATCAGTACAAAGGACTGAGGCAAACATGGTTTCCTTGGGCAGTATTGCTCAATAAATACAGTCTTCCCAATTTCACCTGCATCCCAGGAATAATCATTAAGTCCCTACAATGTGGGAGCAGGCCATTCAGCCCATTGAGTCCGTGCCGACCGTCCCAAGACCATCCTACCCAGACCCACCCCATTCCTGTAACCCTGCATTTTCCGTGGCTAACCCACCCTAGCCTGCACATCTTTGGCCTGTGGAAGGAAACCCACGCAGACACAGGGAGAGCCTGCAAACTCCACACAGACAGTGGCCCGAGGATGGAATCAAACCTGGGTCCCTGGTGCTGTGCTAACCTCTGAGCCACCGTGCCGCCCCCAAAAAATAACAAAGCTGGTTACAAAGTACCCCTTCCAACTCTTCAGATGTCAGTGAGTGAGTGAGAGTCCAGTGAATAAGGGAACAATTAGAAATGAGTTGTACCAGCTTTAACCCGCATTCAAGCTTTACACAGGATTTCTTCCTCTGTCCTTTCAAGCCAGTGTATACTGAGGACCTAGTGACCATCTGACCAAATGTCCTACCCTTTGAGTTTCTCTCTTATTCCCCTGTGTTCAGATGTCGGAATTTTCAAGAGAAACACATGTCCGACCATGTTTATGTCTTGCACAAGACTAACTCAATATGCATCGTGCAGCCATTTGAAAGGCTGGTTTATGAGCTTGTGTTTCCAAAAGATAATGTGACTTCATTTCCAAGTGGCAGAAATAAATTGCGGTGAGGGTCATGTGTATGAATTTAAAAGTGTTAATTTGTAACATGGGTGCAAGCATGATAATATGCAGTGAGCCCCCACTTTCCGAACATCCGACAATGCTTGTAGTTAAAAACACAATCTCATACACGGGTATCGTTTTAATGATCTGACATTTCCTGCACCTATAAATGTCTCCTTTATATCATCCTGCATTGTGTTCTGACTTGCATACAAATCCACCTGCACATAGACTCCAAAGTGTAACCTTTCACAACCTGAGCACTGCTTGTGCATAATTTCCCATTAACTTACTGTGAAATAGTGGCTCACCTTATTGTTACAGACATTGTCAGGCTGTTAAATGTTCTCCTTGCCTCCTGTAACATTGCTTAGGTGTTGGACGCTGTGCCCCTGTCTACCAAATTGCACAGATTTCACACAGCTCCTGTTGAGAAATGGCCTGCATTCCCTCTTTACTGAACTTACTGCATAAGCAGGCAAGGAAATGCTTTACATTCTCAACAAGACATCAGCATTCCTGCCACAGCCCTTTGGAAACTCGCACCAAGCAAGAATGAAGATGGCACATTAAGTAGGGGCTGCAACTTCATGCTGTGTCCTCCCTCATTATACAGTTTGTACAAATGATTCCTATTGATGGCAGTCTAATCTGGGCAAGGAATGTACTAGACATGATTTTTGATTTGATTTGATTTGATTTATTATTGTCACATGTACCTAGGTACAGTGAAAAGTTTTGTTTTGCATGCAGTACCGGCAGATCATACCATACTAAGTGCATTAGGGCAATAGAACAGAGCGAGGAATGCAATTTTACAGATGCAGAGAAGGTGCACAAAGAGTGAGATCAACATTAAATTTCAAATTTGAGGTGTCCATTCAGAACAGCTTTTCTTGAATCTGTTGGTGTGTGTGTTTAAGCTTTTGTATGCTCTGCCCGATGGAAGAGGTTGGAAGAGATTATAATGGGATGGGAGGAGCCTTTGATGATGTTGGCTGCCTTTCTGAGGCAGCAAGAAGTGTAGAAGGAGTCAATGGAAGGAAGGTTGGCTTGTGTGATGGTATAACTGCTGTTATCAAGTCAATGAAGATCAGATCAACAAAGCTTACTGTCATTTGAGCAGGTGGACAGAAATTGGCCCTGTTTTCACATTGCACCTTCACACTGTAAGCAATTTCTGGCAGTGCAGTGGTCGGCCAGTTCTTTGTCATCCTTGTCAAGTTAGTCTTGATGTTTTCTTGGAGAGACTTTCCTCGTCAGTGGTGTTTGTGATGGATTTAAGGGCAGACCAGGCACGATGGCTATTCTGCAGGTGCTGTTCATTGAGCATCGTTTGATGCTGTGAGGCACTGACTGAGTAGGTTTCCCTGAGGAAGTGTTTCTGTTGCTGCTGCCATGTTAGGGCCAGGCTGGTGGAGGTAGGCACTGGGATCAGGTGAAGGGCACTCCATCTGTCACCAGCTACCATCATGACATGGTGATGCAGACATCATTGTAATGCCTCGTTCACACGATTATGTTACCCAGAGTGAGGCTGGTGTTGTGAAATCTTCTAATTATCCCCCTGATGGAAAACAGTGTTTCTAATGACCATGCCATGCTCTTGGTATTTTGTCAGGAGGAGGACTCAGAGTTGTTATTTGCCTTCTCTGCCAATCCTCTGCATTCCAGGGATTTAGGTCCTTCCCAACCCTGGTATTGAAGTCACCTAGGAGAATCAGCTTCTCTCCCTTTGGTTATTGTTGAAGTGGAAATGCCTGTTGGCCTGATCCATTGCTTCTAGGCTCGATGCACTGATGACTGTGGTGTGCTCCTTCTATGTTAGAGTGAGCTGAAGTGTTATCTAGCATTTCTTTATTCCAAAGGGGGCTCACCAAGATGGTGAAACCAATGGAGTTGGTGTTCCTGCCCAGAATCCCCTTTCCTAAAGAAGGCATATCTGCCACTGCGTTTGTTCTCCTGGTTCTGGTCACCCCCCTCCCTCCCCCCACCCCCACCTTACTGGCTTCACAGACAGGATTGTGGGAAGCTCTTGCCTGAGATCAGCCTGGACCAAACTGGAGAAGGAGCACTGGGGAAGTGGTCAGCCATTTCATGTCTCACCAAGAGACCCAGGAGGTGACTGGTCTCCCACAGCGGAGGGAAGGGTGTGGGTAAACCCTCACCTTACTGCCTCCTCAAACTCCAAACCATGCTCCCCCACCACCCCCCCAACCCCGCCAACCCCCATGCGACAGACAATCTGTGTGGATCCAGGAAGAATGGGGGAAAATTGTTATCTTATTCAACGTTCATCCCCTGGAGGCACAGGGTGACTTGTAGCTTTGAACCATCCAACAGTGTGAGCCTGTGTACAGTGTGAGCCAGCGTGCAGTGTGAGCTTGTGAACAGTGTGAACCAGTGTACAGTGCGAACAGTGTGCAGTGCGAACAATGTGCAGTGCGAACAGTGTGCAGTGCGAACATTGTGCAGTGCGAACAGTGTGCAGTGCGAACATTGTGCAGTGCAAACAGTGTGCAGTGCGAACAATGTGCAGTGCGAACAGTGTGCAGTGCAAACATTGTGCAGTGCGAACAGTGTGATGTGCCTCTGAGGATCATGAGTATTGAGGTAAGCTGCTGAAGACCCTGCCTTCCCTATCCCAGCCTGTGCATCTCTTTGACCTGTTGTGTGTAACTCAGGGACTAGATGCTCTCCTTGATCTTTTTATAAAGGAACTTCTCTGCACACAAACATAGCCATGCCTTGAATTTTAATTTCAATAACACAGTGGTCAACTTAAGACTTGTCCTTTGAATTCAAGCGAGCCAGAAAGCAGGCCTCTCTCTTGGTGATGAAGAGAGTGACTTCCAGTTTTGTCTTTACTGTTTAATTGTGGGGCTACTGTCAGATGTCTCCATTGCTGATCTGTTCACCCATCTGCTTTGTTGGCCCAGGGTCAAGGAGTGCTGTCGGATAAGTTGCGGAGTTTCAGCATGCAGGATCTGACACTGCTGAGGGATGAAGACTCAATCCACCTGCGGGGTGCTGACCCCCTCATGAGAACCTCCATTGGCAACATTCCCGAAATGGTCAATGATCCTGGTAGGTTGTGAGAAATCACTTTACAATGTGCGTTATTCCGAGGGTCGGTAAACCAAGAAAGCCAATGTTTGCAAATGGAGGGTCTGTTCTCCTGCTCACTCCCAAAGTGTGCTGATAAATGATGGCACAGTGTGTATTCACATGCTACAGTGGAGGTCATATTCACATCATTGCTTGCTGGTAGTGGTGAAAGGCTCTCTGACATGTGCAAGGAGATCCAACTTCAACAGCAAGTGCATTCCTATCGCTCCTTCCTCTTGTTGGTCCTCCTCGTGCCCATGATTCTGTCTCTGCTGCTCAGGATGTTAATCCCATTTGTAATTGCAGGAAACATCTGAGAATTGTGCTCCAATGACAAGTGATTCCTTTACTTTGCTCAGCTGTACTCACAGTGGTCTCTAGAACCCTAGCCTTTCTGCTTATGTCCTGACGATGTCGGGTGGGTTACAACCCCTACACTGTCCAAGCATACACCTCTCCCAGCTTGACCCACTCAATGGCAGCAGTGCGCCAAAGGCTTGACTCTCCTTTGAGCTGTGCCCCCTCTTACGGGCTCTCTTGCTATCCAGCTATGGCTCCCTGCTGCTTTGTCATCTCCATTGGCCAAAGCTATCCGTGGGCCAACATTCAAACCAGCTATGCACCCCCATCAAAATGTCAGGCTGCTGATAATGAGTTAACACTCGTCGACCTCCTTCCCAAATCAGGCAGACTCCGGGATCCCAGTTTTCCCAAGCTGAAGAAAATTATCGGCAGCGTGACCCTGGTGCCCCAGGCAATGGTGCTCTCTTTAGCACCCATTCAGCTCAATCCCATTCCTGAGTGGACCCAAAGTTCTGCCTGTCAACTCTGTTTGTCTCTCTGTCTGTAAACACTACCCGAACTGCTGAGTATTTCCAGCATTTGCTGTTTCTATTTCAGATTTCCAGTATTTTGTTCTCATGTTCATGTATCAATGGTAATACTGAAAATTGTTGACTTGCTGATTACACTCCACACATTCTGAAGATGTCTCCTTGTGCTATGAGCAGACGTTGTTAAAAATGTTATGTAGAGGTGCATACCCATGCTTGAAAGCATTACTCACCGTATTTGAATTAAATGTGGAAACATTGAGTCATCTGTGGAATTGTGTGGATTGATTGGAAGCAAATTGCCTGTCTGTTTTATACCTCACCGTTTTTATTTTCAGTCTCATGAAATCAGGAGGCAGCAGCAAGCCCCTGTTTGTTAACTTCCAGCACTTGCTATCACATACTATCAAAATGAACCCAAGTGTAATTTCATCTGTATCAAGAGTTTTCGATACGGAATTAAACTACACCTGCTCGTGGAGGTGACCCTGGGAATTTAGTGGGTTGCATTTAATTGTAACTCGGTTAAAATAGTTCAACCAAGTACTGCTGTACTCTGCTAATGCATTGCCTCAGCGTTATGTGGGCTATTACATGGCCTGAATAAACATGAGGGCTGCTTGACCTGACTAAATAAAGATACAGTACTTGGCTTCAATGAGCTAAAGCTGTTCAGCAACACTGTGTGTGTGTATATGTGTGTGTGGAATATTAATGTGCTCTTTTTATTAAGTAACCAGTCAGACATTAGCTCAGCCCTACACGAGTCAGAATGGAGACAAGGCCTGCGTTGCGCATCATTCATTGGCTGCCTCTCTCCGTTGTGCCTGCTCAGTTAATTGTGACTGATGCAGACGTGCAGTGAGCACTGTGGACTAGCCTGTGCCAGGAGCCTCTGGATAAAGGAAGTTGGTTGGCAGTTCATGCTAACAGTTGATTCATTGCACGAAAACAGAGCGTGCTCTGTTGTCTTTCGGAAGCAGGTTAGCAGTTAGGCTGTATCAAGGGCATTCGAGATGAAGCTGAAACAGTTATTCAGGTACAAATGAGATGGATTTGAATATTTAAAAGGATATAGGTCCAGATTTGCAGTTTGGACTGGAATAGGCAGGAGGTGTGAAGAATATCCACAATCATGGATACATGCACTCAAAGCTGTGTTATTACCACATGATTCATGTGATAATGTACAGGGAGAGCACTTCATTAATAGATTGTTGTGTGATTGATTCAGCTCACAGCAGTATGGGCATTGGCTGAAATTCTTCCATTTGCTTCCATCAGCTACTGGGCATAATTTGAACAGGATGCGACATGATATTGCTTATAGGAGCTGCCTTTCCCTGCTTATCTCAATCACTCTTGATATATTTAAACAGACTTAATTATAATTAGGGGAAGGAGATGAGGATACATTGTGGGAACTGTTGGCTCTTTATTTTAACAGTGTCTGGCTTCCAGCATTGCTATGTTGGCAGATTCAGAATTGTACTGCCCACTGGAATTTAGTGAATCACAAGGAGATTTGCCTAATTTCCCTCCCCAACACAAGTCAGGGTCAGAGGAGCTTCGAGAAAAATCAGGGCTTGTTCCTAAATTGCTACACTATTAAAGAATATAGATGATGAGGAGGTGCTGTGTCAAAGGTTTCTGTAGAAAGTTATTAAAATTACAAACATACATTCCAGAAGAATAGCTTAACAATGTTCCTTCACAGAGCAAATGGAGCACCTAATTCCCTGAAGCATTAAAGTGTCCTGAAGGAGTGTTTTAACTCTTGTTTTTTTTCTCCTCTTCCATTGCCTCAAACTGGGAATTGTATGTAAGTTCTACCTTCTCCATTCAGCCTGCACTGATTGTACTCATCAATCATTCAGTTCATAACATGCCTAGCCAAACCACTTTATTACAAATTGTCGCCTTTAGAAGATGCCACCTGATACATCTCTTACTGATTACACTGAAACTTCTGCTGTGTATTAATAATTTCTCAAAATGAGATGGGTAGCAACAAGGACTTATTGCATGAAGACAATTATGAGGTAATTTTATTCTTGTTGCACCAAGTGCAATGTTAACGATATTTATGATGAGAATTTGCTACAATGGAAGTATTGAATGTTGAATCTTATTATAATGGATACAGTTACAATAGGCGAGATTATTGTAAGAGAGTCTCAATTTATGCTGCATTCCATTATGCCTCAGGAAGTTACGGTGGGCCAGCATGGTGGTTCAGTGCTTAGCAATGCTGCCTCACAGCGCCAGGGACCTAAGTTAGATTCCATCGTTGGACAAATGTCTGCATGGAGTTTGCACATTCTCTCTATGTCTGTTTGGGTTTCCTTCGGGTGCCCTGGATTCCTCCCACAATCCAAAGATGTGCAGGTTAGGGTGGATTGACCATGCTAAGTCGCCTCATAGTGTCCAGGCATGTGCAGGCTAGGTCGATTAGCCATTTGGAAATGCAGGGTTACAGGGATAGGGTTGGGGAGTGGGTCTGGATGGGATACTCTTTGGAGGGTTGGTGTAAACTCGATGGGCCAAATGGCCTGCTTCCACACGGTTGGGATTCTATGATACAGCACTCAGCATACAGTGAATTACTTTGAAGTCTAGGTACTACTGACGTTTCATTGCAGAGATGAAAGGAAGTGTTTTTAGTTTTGTTTTTAACTATTAGATGGGAATATTTGATAATGATACCAACTTAGCTATTTTATCTTTTTTGTTTTCATTTGATTAATTGAATAATGATCAATAAAAGGATGTCATTGTCAGGCATGAATGAAAAAGCTATATTAGTTATTTGCAAATAACATAATGTATGTATATATTACTTCCAACATTCCAAAATATCCAAAGGCACTTGCCATGATGAAAATATAAAAGGTGTTTGAAATAGCCCACTTTCTGTGAGACAGTTGTTTCCATTTATTTGAAAATTATTTCTTCCAATGTGTCAGCACCGTTTTGAGAAGACATATCTTTACCGCGTGTGCTCTTACTAAATATTGCTTTTGGTTTTCATCCTCTCCCTTTTTTGCCTTGTTGTTTCTCAGACACATGCTGGCTTCCTTCAGGAGAAGAGGTAAGGAGCACCCCAGCCCCGAGGTCCGACGGGGAGCAGCCGGATGTGAAACCTGACCAGTTGGATGATGATATGGAGAAAGTGCCAAAACGCACCCAGAGCCTTAAAGCCCCTAAACAGAAGATGCAGCGTTCAGAGGTATCATGTGACTGTTCACCTCAGCCCCTTTGCTCGCTGTCTTTCTGCAGCACTGTTAATGCCTTCACTGGTCAATGTTTGCAGTTCCATTGACCAAGAGTTGTTATCCTCCAACCTCACCAAACTTGATTTCTGGTAATCTCTGACTTCCATCTCAAATGGTGACATCCAGTCATTTGCCAATGGATACTTAAGTAATGTAGAATCATAGAGTTGTATAGCACGGAAACAGACCCTTCGATCCAACTCGTCCATACTGACCAGATATCTTTAATTAATCTAGTCCCATTTGCCAGCATTTGGCCCATATCCCACTGAACCCTTCCTATTCATGTACCCATACAGATGCCTTTTAAATGTTGTAATTGTACCATTCTCTACCACTTCCACATGTGCACCATCCTCTACGTGAAAAAGTTGCCCCCTCGGCCCCTTTTAAATCTTTCCCCTCTCACCTTAAACCTATGCCCTCTAGTTTTGGACTCCCCTACCTTGGGGAAAAGACTTTGACAACTCACCCTATCCATGCCCCTCATGATTTTATAAACTTGATAAGGTCACCCCTCAGCCTCCGACACTCCAGAGAAAATAGCCCCAGCCTATTCAGCCTTTCCCCATACCTCAAACCCTCCAACCCTGGCAACATCCTTGTAAGTCTTTTCTGCACCTTTTCAAATTTCACAACGTCTTTCCTGTAGCAGGGAGACCAGAATTGAATGTAGTATTCCAAAGAAAGCACAGATTTCAAAGCAGCATTTGATGACATGCTTTAACTACTGAAATTCTTTGAACAGACAACAAAATTATTGGTCAAGATGATGCATGGGTAACAAGTTGATGAATGGATGGACTGGGACAACAAGGGCCAATAGCAGGCATCCTCTGCCCTGATTAGATACAGCGTCTCTGTAGATGAGAGTGAGATTCCAGAAGGCAGTGTTGTCTGCACAGTGCCATGGTTAAGATGACTCCTCAGGGCTAGAGTGGGAGGGAAAAGATCCGGTTGTCTTGGTTTCTGTAGGTTACCAGTAAGATATGTAGCATGAAAACTGCCATTCTGTTAGTGGAGTGTGAGCAGTGAGGACCTGTGTTAGAAAACAGAAGCACTTTTAGATTTAGCTGTGGAATTAACAACGGGAAACAAGAAAATGGCTGAGGGTTTGGACATGTATTTTGTACCTATATTCACGGCAGAAGACACCAAAAGCATCCTGAGAAGAGGAGAAAATCACAATGGGAAAATGAGGGAGGAACTTAGAGCAGTCACTGTTTCTAAAGGGAAAATACATCAAAAAACTAATGTAGCGAAAGGCTAAATAAAAACTGAAAGAACTGCGGATGCTCTAAATCAGAAACAAAAACAGAAGTTGCTGGAAAAGCTCAGCAGGTTTGGCAGCATCTGTGAAGAGAAATCAGAGTTAATGGAGGGAGAAATTAGAAGGGTCACTGAACCCAAAATGTTAACTCTAACTTCTCTCCCTAGATGCGCCAGACCTGCTGAGCTTTTCCAGTAATTTCTGTTTTTGCAGCAAAAGGCTGACAGGTTTCCTGGACCTGATGGTCTTTTCCAAGGATCACAACAGACTTGGCTGCAGTGATAGTGGATGCACTGTTTGTAATCAACCAAAATTCTATAGATAAAGGGGAACCAGTAGATCTGGTGTATTTGGAGTTCCAAAAGGCATTTGGTAAAGTGTCACATAAAAGGTTAGCATGCACAAGATAAGAGCTTCTGGTGTTGGCAGTGTTAGTGGGCAAAGGGTGAGCTAACAGGAAACAGTGAGTCAGGAAAAATGAGCCATTTTCAACTTGGAAGACTTTAAGTCGGAGAGTGTCACGAGGATCAGTGCTGGGTCTTCGTCTGTTTATGACCTGCATTAATAACCATTGGCTAATTTTACTGGAAGGTAGTGCTGAGGCCAGTAGTGGTCAGTACAATCTGAAAATCCTTTAGGAAACCGTAGTGATTTGAAACAAGTGGATCTCGTTGACTATGAGATCCTTGATTGGGGTTGTTAACTGGGGTCAATCAGGAAGCCTTGGCTGACCAATATAAACAGGAGATTATGAATCTCCTCAGTTCAGGGGTTTGACTCTGAGCTGGCTGGTCACAGCCAGTGTACTGCGCACAAATAAATAAACGGTGACTTGGTGATGGGATACTGGCCTCTGGGCAGTTATTTCAGAAACAAAAATTGCCATCCTTACCTGATTAGTGACTATACGTGACTACAGTCCCACTGCAATGTGGTTGACTCTTAACTGCGCTCTGAAACAGCCCAGTATGTCATTGAGTTCCACAGCGATGCGGGATGGGGCAATAATTGCTGGCCAAGGCAACGATGCCCACATCCCGTGAAGAAATAAAGAGAATGATGAGGACTGGATGATGCATTGTGAATCTCCCCTCTGCTGATGGGGATAAGATGGTTGTATGTGTGAGTAACTCTGAAAACAAAAGATCTGATTAGTTGCCTTTTAATATCTCTTTCTCAGCCACAATCGAAGAGTCTCAAGTTGCGTACGAAGAAGAAGGCTGCAAGCACTACAAGCAGTCCTGAGTCTGCATGAACTGGAAACTGTGGAAACAAGATCCTGCAGAGTGCAACAGGTCTTTCCATCTGTCTTCAGTACTTCACTGATTTGAGTCTTGCTTCAAGCAGGAAGTTGCTAAAGCACAGAGGAGCCACACTGTGTAAATAAGAGCCGTGGGGACGTGTCTTTAGCAGGTGTAGGGGAATGCAGATGTCAGCACAACACAGCAGTATTAGGGCAACCAATGAGAGACCAAACAAAATAGGCTTGCTCAGTGTTATATCAACATCTCACCAATAGGAACAAGAATTCAAGTCAAAATTTCACCCAGCTGTCTCCAAGAAAACATTGCTTTCACTTTGCAATAATCACTTTCTTTCTTTGGATTGATCCTTTTATTTTTGTGCTTCCAGTCCCGTCATGTGATGTGAAAAGAAAGCACAGGATCCAAATCCATGATTGTTTCAACTTTATTGAATTAATCTAAAAATCTTTGATTTCCGATAAAAGTTTCTGGCACTCCCACATGGAAGTGACTGTAAGTCATGACCAGCAGCAGTTGCAACCTGTGAACTTAATGGCTTTGGTTTTCAGTCCATTTGAATCCTGAAACAGAAAAAAAAATGGCTAACATATTTTGTTTTTGAATTGTGATTATTCACAGAACCTCCAGGAAGACAAGAACAGAATGTTTCAAAAGATTTATAATGCAAACAAATTAATAAATTGTTCACTCAATAACTCAACCAAAACATCAGCTGCAGAACATGCAGGAACAATATATTTTATTTAAGTTTCTAAAATATGGTACCATTTATGATGGTAGATTCACTGTATTTGGCAACTGACCATTAAAATCTATGCAACTGGAGAATATTTAATGTATAAATCTGAAATTTCATTGTAGGAATGAACAGGAAGACTGCTCTATTAGTATTCTATACAGTAGGAGAAAACGGGAAAAGATTTAATGTGTTGAAATTTGCTACAATGTGAATGAATGTGAGGGGGTCTGTTGCTCTGGAATTATTGACAGTAAACAGGAAGTGCTTTGTTGTTCTATAGCGTGGAAGTGAATAGAAAGTGATGTGGGATGTTGGAAACTGGTAAAATGGGAGTTAAGGGATGTGGATTCTTCGCTTGGAATTGTACATAGTAAGAGTCAGTTTAACTAAGTACATGGAGGCGTGACTTGTTAGACTGAAATCCCAGGAAGTGGAAGAGTGGCAGAGATTTGGTTAATGGAAAGGATTGATTTTTCTCTATTAGGATCTGGAGTTCATTGTCCCTTTAATCTTGTAGGATTCTGAAATGGGATGCATTGAGATTCTTTTCCAGATGACATCTACAGGGATCAGATTCAAGTTGTTGTAACGATGATCTGTTCTTGAATTCCTGCATGATTTTCGTATGCACTGTGACTATAAGGTTATGGTATCTCCTCTGTGGACAGCGAGAGTCAGGATGTCAATAGTGCCCCAGTTTTCAGAATCATGTGGAGAACTGATTGGTAATGAGTTGTAAACAGTAACTCAATCAGTCAGGATCTGATGATACCATATATACTAAGGTGAAGAGAGGCTGATTTATGAATGTTGCCAGAACCTCGGAATGAAATGAATTGACTGCTGGATTTTCACTCTTTGTGTTTATACTATTTATATTTATTTTTGACTTCCTACTAATTTCCAGTGGGTACCCTGAGTGGGGCAGAGGTTATGTAATGTAAATAAAAACGGTAGTAATGTAGGAATTGACATTGTGTGGCATTATGTGACATATAGTTATGAATTACCAGGAAAATTGCTATAACTGATATAGCAGGCTAAACAGAATAGGTTATAAAACTGTAGAATAAACCATAATACTGGACTTATACGACAAGTGTCATAATCATATATTTAGTGAGTTTTGGAGTTCTCACTCAGCACCTTCTAATAATGTATCAGGCTGGTCAGTATTCTTTAATTAGCTCATGAGGCTGACACGAATGATGACAACACCATCCATTTCAATATTTATTGTCACTATTGCTCAGTTCACTTCACTTTATTTGAGTTTGTGCAGGGGAAAGTGCTCAAAATTGAGGTTCTTTCCAACTTATCACAAAACATGGGCGGGTCTGAAAGTCTGTATGTGCTGCCTGAGCCTCAAAGATTGGTATGAAGCTGCTTTTCTTTATGTTGTTTTCAGAGAATGGGTCAATGCAGCTTCCATCTCCATTTCTGCTCAGTTTACATTCCTGGTCTGCAACTGTTTGCATTGGATGTCCGTCAGCTGGCAAATCTCGCAGGGTTCCCAAACCCCATGATATACTGGGTTTTTCACTGTTGATGGGACAAGATGAGTTGTCTCCTTTTATATTTCAATTGTCTGTGTCATTGCAAGAACTATAAGTGGACTCATATAATATAAAAGCACCTTCACTGACTGATGAGGTTACCATCTCAGGGACTTGTGTCAACAGTTCCTCTGGAATCTATCTCAGTCCATAAAATATTGCAGGTGTGGAAGGGTAATTGGCTAAAAGAAACATAAATTCCAGGGTCTACATGCATCAGACTCCCTTTAATCAAGGGGAACAGTTTATAGAGAATGTATTGATGTCCTAACAACTCCCATGCCCTCGAAATATTAAAAAGAATGCTAGTCTCATTTTACCTGAAAGCTGTACTTCCCTCTGACTACTTTAGCTATGGTCATCACTGCTTAAAGATGTTCAATGTGAAACTATTTGACTAAGATCTTTTCTATCAACATTAGTTGCATGTCATCCTTTTTATTCCTGTTAAGGGTTTGCCGCACTCTTCATGAAAACGCTAGTTACGAAAATTGTATGGGCTTTTCTAGGGACACATAATATCCACACTCATTTTCTAGCCATCCAAAAACCTTTGCAATTTGTTAGTTAATTTGTGTAATTCACAGCACCCCAGTGTTTCTCATGTCCGTTAATACCAGCTATTCATAACCAGGTGGTTTTGAGTGGTTGAGCCAAGCTCTATCCACCTCTAGAGTATTTACCACATATTAATTGGAGGCAGTAAAAGGCCAGCAATGATTGCACTGAACTGGAATTAAATGGATTGCTAATCTCAGCCAGCAAAGAAGGAGGGATCACAAATATCCATCATCTAAAGCAGTGACAGGAGATTAAAAGGAGCCTGATCCTAACCAGCGAGGAAGTAGTGGTTTAGTGTTTATGTGTATTTAGATTTGGATGTTCTGGCCCTGCAGTATTCAACACTCACTCATAAGGGAGCCAATATGTTGCAAACCGTAGTCTTGTCTGAAGTTTTCTTTTACATAAATGCTACTAGTCTGTGCTGCCTGCTGCATTCCTCTCAAAGAAAGATGGGTGATCTTTTTTCATTGACTGAAATGTTGATTTTGTCTGAGTTTTTAACATTTGACAGTACGTTCACGAGAGTGTGCTGAAAACACCATTGGCTGTCCCTCACCGTTTTTTGGAACAGTTCACATCGTATGCATTGCGTTTTCAGATCTTCTTGCACTTGTGTTCCAGATCCACTTCATTACATCTGAGCTGGAAATGTTTTCTCCTTTTGAAGAATATCACAAAGTTAAACCGAAAGAACTGCGGATGCTGTAAATCAGAAACAGAAACAGAAATTGCTGGAAAAGCTCAGCAGGTCTGGCAACATCTGTGGAGAGAAGTCAAAGTTAACGCTTCAGGTCTGGTGACCCTTCCTCGGAACAGGTTCTGAGTTCTGAGAAAGGGTCACAGGACCCGAAACGTTAACTCTGACTTCTCTCCACGGATGCTGCCAGACCTGCTGAGCTTTTCCAGCAATTTCTGTTTTTGTTACACTTTTTCTTTCCTGTACTCCCTCTCTGTCTCTCTCTCTGTCCCTCTATCCATGTGAAGAATCTACCATCAAATGAATGTCTTTTTCAGTGAGGCAATCTGGGGCAAGGTTCATGGCGGTATTGTATTCAATCTTATCAGGGTTATTAAACCAGAAATATAGGACAAGTGGGCAGGCACACGACACACTAGGAAACCTACTAGCTTAGTTAAACTTTAACACACCCTTTATAGGCGTGTGGGAGTAATTCTGTTGGCTTCTGTGATTGCTGATTCTGCCCTGTTTCTACTCTGATAACAGCAACAGAAGAAAATAATGTGTTTATAAAATTTATACATGAGGAATTCTCCAAAGTAATGTAACTTAAACATTACCACACAAGCGCAGATTCCTGAGACAATCAGTCACATTCGTTGACTTTGTGGATCTAACTACGGCCCTTTCACCATTCCAAGAGAGGGTAAAAATACTAAAAACACTAAATGTGCGTTAATGGTTTGTATGGTTGGTCTGACAATTGGCTATACAGTATGTAGAAATTGTCAATCTAACTAAGAAGGTACCAGAAGTTGCTGGAAAAGCTCAGCAGGTCTGGCAGCATCTGTGGAGAGAAATCAGAGTTAACATTTTGGGTCAAGTTCTGAGGAAGGGTCACTCGACCCAAAACGTTAACTCTGACTTCTCTCCACAGATACTGCCAGACCTGCTGAGCTTTTCCAGCAATTTCTGCTTTTGTTTCTGACTTACAGCATCCGCAGTTCTTTCAATTTTTATTGAAGAAGGTACCAGTGTGTGCTGGTTATGTTTAACTCCCAGTCAATTCTTGTATATTTTTAGTCAGCATATTGTCATCTTCTGAGGAGAAAAAAGAAAATTGGGTTGGAGTGATTCGGTGAGTGAGGGGAGGGGTTGCGAAGTGAAGCAGGGATCCTACAGTAGCTACATGAATGTACCTGTTGAATAGCTGAAACACAGCAAAGCTCCAAGTTTTTATTGAGTTGTTATTAGGGAACCAGCGATGGCATGCCAATGGTGTCAGTACAGCTGGAATAGGGAGTAGAAATCGTTTCCACCCCAGATCACTTGCCAATGATCCTCACCGCAATGACCATGCAAATGAATGTTGGTACAGGACAGTCTTCAACTCTATCTGAAACTATCAAAATCTACACAACAATAAGGGTCAGCAAGATCAGGGTGTAATAAAGAAGAGAGCAACTAGCTATGAAATAAAAATCCTGAAGTAATTTTTTTTTGATGGTTTGGGAATTAACTGCAATTGCCAAAGTTGTGACAGCCGCCTAGATTGATCCCAAATGTTCCCCTAACACTTCGTCAAGAAAGTGGAGCCCAAGGAGTTTTTTTTAATTCATTAATGGGATGAGGACATCGCTGGCTAGGCCAGCATTTATTGCCCATCCCTATTTGGGCACAGTTGGAAAATAGACGCCAAAATTTTTTCTAAGCTTGTTTTCATTTTTGTGACCAATTCCTGTTCCGCAATGCAAATGGCTAATATTTGCCATCAGTTGTGAAATGTAGATAGTGGATAATTAGATGTGCATCAAAAGGCATCCACTCTGCTCAATGCATTATTACAGACCCATGCTTTAGGAGTTATTGCATTCATTTCATTACATTCTCCCCTTAGAGAATGGAGAATAAGGGTCTACTTTTAATGTGAATTCCCTTTTTCATGGCCGTACTGCTCTCTACACCAGACTATGGATTGTACTGATTTGATTTGATTTATTATTGTCACATGTACTTAGGTACAGTGTAAAGCATTGTTTTGCGTGCAGTACAGGCAGATCATACCATACAAATCGCATCAGGATAATAGAACAGAGCAAGGAATACAATGTTACAGCTGCAGAGAAGGTGCACAAGGAGCGAGATCAACATTAGATCTGAAATTTGACAGGCCCATTCACCAGTCTGATAACAGCAGGGAAGAAGCTGTTCTTGAATTTGTTGGCACGTGTGTTTAAGCTTTTGTATCTTCTGCCTGATGGAAGAGGTTGGAAGAGATTCTAACCGGGGTGGGAGGGGTCTTTGATGATGTTAGCTGCCTTCCCGAAGCAGTGAGAAGTGTGGATGGAGTCAGTGGATGGGAGGTTGGCTTGTGTGATGGACTGGGCTGTGTTCACAACTCCCTGTATTTTCTTATGGTCCTGGGTAGAGCAGTTGCCATACCAGGCTGTGATGCACCCAGATAGAATGCTTTCTGTGGTGCATCTATAAAAATTGATAAGAGTCTTTACAGACTTTCCTTAGCCTCCTGAGGATGTAGAGGCGTTGTTCTGCTTTCTTGACCATTGCATCAATGTCGGGGGCCCAAGACAGATTGTTGATGACCGTCACTCCTAGGAACTTGATGCTGTTGACCATCTCCACCTCAGCTCCATTGATGTAGATAGGGTTGTGTGTCCTCCACTTTGCCTCCTGAAGTCAATGACCAGCTGTTTAGTTTTGCGACGTTGAGGGAGAAATTGTCATCTTTACACCATGCAACCAAGCATTCTATCTCTTTCCTGTATTCTGTCTCATCATTCCAGCCTACAGTGATGGTGTCGTCAGCAAACCTGTGGAGATGGAGTTAGGATAAAATTTGGACACACAGTCATGAGTGTACAGGGAGTACAGTAAGGGGCTGAGTCCCCAGCCGGTGTTGAGGATTGTTGTGGAGCAGGTGCTGTTGCCTATCCTCACTGATTGCAGTGGAGGATCCAGTTGCAAGGGACAGAGAAGGTCTCAGAGTTTGGAGATTAGTTTGGTTGAAGGCAAAGCTGTAGTCAATGAATAGGAACCTTATATAGGTGTCCTCGTTATTCAGATGTTCCAGGGATGAGCATAGGGCCAGAGAGATGGCATATTTTGTGGACTTGTTGCGCTGGTAGGCAAATTGTAAAGGATCAAGGCAGGCTGGGAAGCTCGAGTTGATGTGGGCCATGACTAACAACTCAAAGCACTTCAGAATTATGGAGGTCAGAGCCACCTGTTCAGCCCTGTATAGTGTATGGGTTGGATGGACATCCACATGATCTGGTGAAGTGGACCTTATCTCCATGATGTGTCTGTTGTTGCAAAAGAATGCTTGGTAAAAGGACAGTTATTGTCATCATGGCCAGAGAAAAATTCCCATGTGTCTCCCGCCAGTATCACTGAATCCAATTTACCATCATATGATCTCTGAAGGTGGATTCAGTATAAAGGGTTTCCAGGATGGTCTTTAACTTGGAACAGCTTTCCAATGAGTATCTGCCCTGACAAGTTAGTTTCTTACCCAGCTGAAGAGTCAGAAGACCCAGGCAGTTTTGATCACCAGACCACCTGTCCATAATGGGCAAGCGGAGTGCAGAGAAAGACGGGGTGGTCCGTGGCAGCTTCCAGGTAACTGGCAGGGAAGGAGTTTCAGAAGGTTGTGCAAGGGCAGCACGAGATGTCCTGATCCAGAAAGGACACGCTGACTGTTTTGAAAGCCTTTTTGTCCCTACCATCAGCCTGATACTAAAACAGTGGCTTCCTTTGTCAGGAACCAGCTACGACACCAGTGAGATCCCATTGTCTGAACAGGATGTCAGGCAGCGTGTGTGCTGAGAGAAGCAGTTCATACTTCAGATCAATTCATCCATTCTGATGAAAGGCCATCAGTCTGAAATATTAAATAAAAAGAAGGAAATGTTGGAGATACTCAACAGGTCTGGCAATGGAAGGGGAAACAGAGTGAATGTTTTGAGTCTAATATCCCTCCTTCAGTTATAAAGAAGAGTCATATTGAATTTGAAACATGAACTCTGTTTCTTATCCTTGTCTTCTGTAGACCCTGGAAGCTGAGATCAGAGAAGTTTGAATACGGCTGAGTTCCAAAATGTCAATAACCCTTTAGTTTGTTCTGTAACTGCCCATTGATGTGATTGATAGGGTTAAACTTGACTCCTGTAACTTTAAGTAGAAGTAAATATGAGAAATCTGTTCCATATTCAGGAAGTTGTGAACCACAATGAGAAGGTGCTCCTGTGCCTTTACCCGGCTGAAAAACCGATAAAAATACGAACCGATAGTGTGGTACTCACATGGGACATAATTACTAGCTCACAATTATCAGACCACATAGAACGAGAAGATATTTATAAAGACAAACCTGCCGTTTCTGTGGCAAACACTTCTGGCAGATATTCCATCAGAGAGATTCAACTTGGAGATGGCATGTGTTTTATGGATCAGTGACTCCTCGAGAAATCCACACCTTTCCAGCCAAATGCATTGGTTTTGACAGACCCATAGAATAGAATCCCTGCAGTGTGGAAGCAGGCCATTCGGCCCATCAAGTCCACACCAACTTTCCGAAGAGCATCCCGCCCAGGGTTGAACTCTGAAGAAATTGGATGATTGAATAGGCTTGTGCTGATTTGAATGGAGGGAGTGGGGGATGGGAGGGGTGGGGGGCAGGGGGAATGGAGGCATTATGAATATTGATATTAAGTGGTTCTTCTTTTGCCTCTGGGCAGCAGTGTGTCAGAAAGCGGCACATTATCACAGCTATGTAACCTCCTGCTGCATGCCATACTGGACTAGAGCACCATGCTCATTCCAATCTGCTACTGGAGACATCACCTCTATCACCCAGTCTACATTGGTCACCTCCAGCACAGCAAATCAGTACATTAATTTGCTAATGATGGCAACAGTCAAAATGAGAGTTCTTGGAATGACAGCAATGGTTATGTTTCCTTGTCAACATCATTGGCTGCAAACCTGTATTTATCA